TTCATTACTATTTTTAGAAACTATTTTAACGATAGAGTTATAGGAGTTATGAGTAATTTGAAAGACTATCTCATATACTTCAGGTGCATTGCTTTTTATTTCACTTGCTTTTTGTTGCCATTAATTTTATTCAATAATATATTCTTCACATCTAATGCAAGAATTCACTCAATATCCTCACATGCCTTACGAATTCTGGTGTTAGATATCATAGCATTTGCAGCCATAACTCTGTATTATCTAGAATTTATCAAAAGATTTTCATTGAATTATAAGTTTTAACGGATAAAACCTATACTATTAAAGAAATAATTGCATCTAGTTTTTTATTCAGTAATTTATGTTTATATATTAAACACAAACTCAAAGAATTGTTTCATTCGTAAAATCATTTATTTTTAGAAAATGAATTTTTGGTAAAGAATTTCTGCCTATTTTTATGAGTTTTCATAACTTTTGATATGTATTTCGATTTTTGCTATATTTAACAAGATTTTCTTTTTCTCATGATTTCAAATAAAATTTAACGAATGAATAAAATTGTACTCAAATTTCTATGAGAGAAAGTAATTCAAGAAAATGTTTACCAGTTTTTTTTGACAAAACATTAAAGTATAGCTATATTTCCAGTGAATAAATTTTTATAAGACTTCGAGTTCAATAATTTTATATGATTTCGACATTATTAACAAAAGATTTACTTTTTAAAATGTATTATAAATCTAATAATAATTATAAAGTGTTTCAATAATACACTTTTGCAAACATGGAATCAATATAAAGTATAAATATAGCAAATCAATGAATACCTGGTCTGATGTGTGTCCGATGTATTGACTGCTCTTAACTTTGTTACCAAAACTCTCACAATATTTATTAAGAAGAATAAATTGAGCTGTGATTCAGTCAATAGTTAGAGCATTAATACTTCAATTGATTAAAACAAATAACATTTGTTTTGATAGACTCTTACCAACAGTGACATACACACCGGACCCGTCAATAGTAAGTTATAAGTGCCCTCTTCTATCCAACAACTGCCCAAAACAATTAAAACAATCAATCAGTCTTTGAATTACAATCATTAAACGACAGAACACTTACTAATGGGTGTCCTTCGGGTCAGTGGACTGACGTCTAAGGAGGGCGTATATAACGGTCATAGGGATGGGAACACCCCATCCAACCATATAAAACCACTTCAGTATCTTATTCTCGGACACAAACGCCACGACCAGCAAAGTGTGGAGATATAGTCCTTCGCAAAACATCCAGAAATAGTTACAAACCATAA